ATTGGCTATTTGACAGTTTTTCACAAAACCGGAAGCCGCCATCTTGGATTCCAAAATGGCATGAATCATCGATTTCCGGCCTCTACGCGTCGTTCCCGTTCCGAAAATATCCATATCGTTGGCTATTTGACAGTTTTTCACAAAACCGGAAGCCGCCATCTTGAATTCCAAAATGGCATGAATCATCGATTTCCGGCCTCTGCATGTCATCTCGGTTCCAAAAATATCCTTATTGTTGGCTATTTGACAGTTTTTCACAAAACCGGAAGCCGCCATCTTGGATTCCAAAATGGCATGAATCATCGATTTCCGGCCTCTACGCGTCGTTCCCGTTCCAAAAATATCCATATTATTGGCTATTTGACAGTTTTTCACAAAACCGGAAGCCGCCATCTTGGATTCCAAAATGGCATGAATCATCGATTTCCGGCCTCTACGCGTCGTTCCCGTTCCGAAAATATCCATATCGTTGGCTATTTGACAGTTTTTCACAAAACCGGAAACCGCCATTTTGGATTCCAAAATGGCATGAATCATCGATTTCCAGCCTCTGGATGTCGTCTCGGTTCCTAAAATATCCATATTGTTGGCTATTTGACAGTTTTTCACAAAACCGGTAGCCGCCATCTTGAATTCCAAAATGGCATGAATCATCGATTTCCGGCCTCTGGATGTCGTCTTGGTTCCGAAAATATCCATATTGTTGGCTATTTGACAGTTTTTCACAAAACCGGAAGCCGCCATCTTGAATTCCAAAATGGCATGAATCATCGATTTCCGGCCTCTACGCGTCGTTCCCGTTCCGAAAATATCCATATTGTTGGCTATTTGACAGTTTTTCACAAAACCGGAAGCCGCCATCTTGGATTCCAAAATGGCATGAATCATCGATTTCCGGCCTCTACGCGTCGTTCCCGTTCCAAAAATATCCATATTATTGGCTATTTGACAGTTTTTCACAAAACCGGAAGCCGCCATCTTGGATTCCAAAATGGCATGAATCATCGATTTCCGGCCTCTACGCGTCGTTCCCGTTCCGAAAATATCCATATCGTTGGCTATTTGACAGTTTTTCACAAAACCGGAAGCCGCCATCTTGAATTCCAAAATGGCATGAATCATCGATTTCCGGCCTCTGCATGTCATCTCGGTTCCAAAAATATCCTTATTGTTGGCTATTTGACAGTTTTTCACAAAACCGGAAGCCGCCATCTTGGATTCCAAAATGGCATGAATCATCGATTTCCGGCCTCTACGCGTCGTTCCCGTTCCAAAAATATCCATATTATTGGCTATTTGAGTTTTTCACAAAACCGGAAGCCGCCATCTTGGATTCCAAAATGGCATGAATCATCGATTTCCGGCCTCTACGCGTCGTTCCCGTTCCGAAAATATCCATATCGTTGGCTATTTGACAGTTTTTCACAAAACCGGAAGCCGCCATCTTGAATTCCAAAATGGCATGAATCATCGATTTCCGGCCTCTGCATGTCATCTCGGTTCCAAAAATATCCTTATTGTTGGCTATTTGACAGTTTTTCACAAAACCGGAAGCCGCCATCTTGAATTCCAAAATGGCATGAATGATCGATTTCCGGCCTCTACGCGTCGTTCCCGTTCCGAAAATATCCATATTGTTGACTATTTGACAGTTTTTCACAAAACCGGAAGCCGCCATCTTGGATTCCAAAATGGCATGAATCATCGATTTCCGGCCTCTACGCGTCGTTCCCGTTCCAAAAATATCCATATTATTGGCTATTTGACAGATTTTCACAAAACCGGAAGCCGCCATCTTGGATTCCAAAATGGCATGAATCATCGATTTCCGGCCTCTGCATGTCGTCTCGGTTCCGAAAATATCCATATCGTTGGCTATTTGGCAGTTTTTCACAAAACTGGAAGCCGCCATCTTGGATTCCAAAATGGCATGAATCATCGATTTCCGGCCTCTACGCGTCGTTCCCGTTCCAAAAATATCCATATTATTGGCTATTTGACAGATTTTCACAAAACCGGAAGCCGCCATCTTGGATTCCAAAATGGCATGAATCATCGATTTCCGGCCTCTGCATGTCGTCTCGGTTCCGAAAATATCCATATCGTTGGCTATTTGACAGTTTTTCACAAAACCGGAAGCCGCCATCTTGAATTCCAAAATGGCATGAATCATCGATTTCCGGCCTCTGCATGTCATCTCGGTTCCAAAAATATCCTTATTGTTGGCTATTTGACAGTTTTTCACAAAACCGGAAGCCGCCATCTTGAATTCCAAAATGGCATGAATCATCGATTTCCAGCCTCTGGATGTCGTCTCGGTTCCTAAAATATCCATATTGTTGGCTATTTGACAGATTTTCACAAAACCGGAAGCCGCCATCTTGGATTCCAAAATGGCATGAATCATCGATTTCCGGCCTCTGCATGTCGTCTCGGTTCCGAAAATATCCATATCGTTGGCTATTTGGCAGTTTTTCACAAAACCGGAAGCCGCCATCTTGGATTCCAAAATGGCATGAATCATCGATTTCCGGCCTCTACGCGTCGTTCCCGTTCCAAAAATATCCATATTGTTGGCTATTTGACAGTTTTTCACAAAACCGGAAGCCGCCATCTTGGATTCCAAAATGGCATGAATCATCGATTTCCGGCCTCTACACGTCGTTCCCGTTCCGAAAATATGTATGTACTCATGTTGTCCGGTGAATCCACTCGAAGTACACTTGCAAGTTTGTTTTTTTTGGCTAAGTCCATTCCTCAGAAAACACTTAGAATGTTTTGGCTCTTTAACCGCGTTATTTCAAAAAACCGTGTAAAAAAAAACCGCGTTATTTCAAAAAACCGCGTAAAAAAAACCGCGTTATTTCGAAAATCGTCGTAAAAAAAACCGTGTAAAAAAAAACCGCGTAAAAAAAACCGTGTAAAAAAAGACTTCAGTGTAATCAACTTTTAAAAGTGTCCGAAATTCGAGTTTAAGTGTCCGAAATTTGAATCGGCACGGTATATATTTTCGCGACTTGCTTTCCTTATTGCGCTTGTGGTGTTCTATAAACCTGAACGTTTTTGCCATTTGAGCTATCTCGTTTTCTTTTTCAACTGCTCCAAAAAATTTATTTACTTTTTCGGTGAAATGCATATCATATGCCTTCTTCTTTTAAACTCTTGCCACCACTGCTTCCCTTCTTAAATCCGGATTGTTTCTGTCCGCCATCCCCCTTTGCGTTGCCAGGAAGTATTTTTTTCGATGCTTCCCTTCTTCTTGGAGTCGGTGGGGATCCCATGGTTTTAAGCACTGTCTCTGCACCGCTTGTTATTGCTGATTGGATCCTAGTCCATTTTTCATCTACGCTGACATTAACACTTATCGTTGTCGCAAACAGATTTCGGTCAACTTTATCCTGGTATTTTTTCCGTTCCTCTTCATTTTTCAGCACCTCCAGGTCGTATCTAGCCTTTTTAGCCTGCGGGATGGTCGTACGAGAACAATGGCTAGCTGCACGTTCTCTTGTCTCTCTTTTCAATACACATTCCATTATTTCATGGTCGCTTTTTAGGTGGGGTGGAAAATATGCTCTGATGCTTGGAATCTTGATAAATGCTTCTGGTTTTTACTTACTCAAATCCAACACTCAAAAAATTTATTACATATCTAATGGATGAAAACCATGTGAATTTCACATAGCTTTCACATAGCTAAAAATCTCACCACAAAATCACATGAATATTATGAGGCCGATGAAATTCAAATGAAAAATCATATAAAATTAACGTGATCGCATAAATGTTGTGTGAAATTCAGATGATTTCCATTAATTATGCGATTCCAATGGAAGCTACATGAAAACTATTTTCGGTGAATACTACAGAAAAAAATATGGTTAGAATACCCGGGGATAATTGAGTTCGACCTGTATATAAAAACATAAAATTTTTATTTTTTCTGGCCTTAGCTTTAAAACAATCTGATGTATTATTTTCAGCGCAAATTGGTGCAAAATGTGCAATGCCTTCCTGATTTTTTGTTTATATCATCATTACTCTCATAGTTCTCCTATTCTCCATGGGGACTTTAGTTCACTAATATATTTGCACGTTCCAAAGGGAAAATAATTCTCAATTTATAATAACAGAACGCTTCTGCACGAATGTAGGCAAAAACGTAGGTCACTCATAGAATGTGTAACATTATCTTCAAAAATCTGCTCGGATATAAGGAAAATCGACGAAAATTTTACTCACTCCAGAAGTATACTAATAGGGCCCTACTATGTAAGTCGAGTCAAGCGTCACTTCTGATCACTGGTCTATTATGGTATAACAGATTTAATACAAAATTAGACCAGTGACCAGAAGTGACGCTCGACTCGACTTAAACTCTATTTCTAAACAACCCAAATTTGAGTAAGATCTACTCATATTCGTCAAAAGTAGGGCTACCCAAAATTGAGTAAACAAAGTTGGGACTGTCCAGATGACGAATGGACAACATCGAGCTGAATCTGAATAATGTTGTTCATGTGTCATCTTGTCAGTTCCAACTTTGTTTACTCAATTTTGGGTAGGCCTGCCCTACTTTTGACGGATATTAGTTGTTTAGAAATAGCGTGTACACTCCCGATCATAATTGACCTATAATGATCGAAAAATTGGTCGTAGAATGGCAGAAATGGCTTTGAACAGGACTATACATAATAGGTCCCATAGACTGAGTGAAATCTCTCTCGATTGTCATCATATTCGAAAAGTTTTTCCAGGAAGATCGAGGAAAACTTTACTACCGTTACCTGTTTCTCCGAATTTGACTAAACGGAACTCAAAAATGAGTCATATTCGCCGGCCGTGTGTTATTTGTACTAGCGAATCTTTCAGTAGAAGATTCCTTTCTCGAATGTTCTTAGTGTTATGTTTGTCCCTTATGTCTCTCCTCCACCTTTCGGGGTCTTCGGTATGTTTTAGACACATAATATTCCAAGCCGAGTTTTGTGTTATTACCATTATTATATTATGTGTGGGTGCTTATTGTTGCTATGATCCGGTAAGTAGTTCGAAAAATGATATAAATGAGAACGCGCAACTGATCAGGGTATGCACTTTCAATGCTTCTGTTATCACTCATCCTCCCTCCAGTGGGTAAACAACTTAAGTTGAAAGCAAACGATTTCGAAAGTGATTGGGAAATGATGCCACTGTTAAACCGCTATAAAAGCAGCGCAAGCAATAGGGCCAGAAAATACACGTAAAAGGACTTACTTAAAACGATTATGTGAGATGCTTCCTAACCGTCCAGTTCTCCGGCAGCACATGCATCTCCGTAGCTCTTGCCCTGCTTTTCCTCTGGGTTCAGCTTGATCATATCGTCGATACGCAGAATCGTGATCGCAGCTTCGGTTGCAAACTTCAGCGATTTGATCTTGGACATGGCCGGTTCCAGCACACCAGCCTTCTTGTTGTCCTTCACCACTCCTTCGATCAAATCCAGTCCGCACCACTTCAGATGAGCATGGTCAACCTTGGTTTGGCTGGAATTGTGATAGGCACGGAGCTTCGCAACCAAATCGGTAGCATCCTTAGCAGCATTCACGGCCAATGTTTTTGGAATCACCAGCAGCGACTTGGCGAACTCGGCAATCGCAAGTTGTTCCCTAGAGCTCAACGAAGTGGCAAAGTTTTCGAGGTAGATCGACAGAGCTGCCTCTACGCAACCACCTCCGGCAACGACCTTCTTGCCTTCCAGCACTCGCTTTGTTACGCACAGCGCATCATGAATCGAGCGTTCCATTTCGTCACAGTAGAAATCGTTGGGTCCACGCAGAATAATTGAAGCTGCGGTACGTGCCTTCGGGCCACGGATCAAGATTAGCTCGTCATCACAGACAAACTCCTGTACGACTTCGGCCGCTTCTCCCACGTAGCTTGGCTCGAAGCTTTCCTCTCCGTCCATGTTGGTCAGCGAAGTCAGGAAGGCAGCACCGGTAGCCTTGGCAATGCGCTTCAGATCGGACTTTTTGACACGACGCACCGCCATGGCTCCGGCCTCGACAAAGTACTTCAGACAGAGATCATCTATTCCACCACTGCACAGAACCACGTTGACACCGGTGGCGATAATCTTCTCGATCTTTTCCTTTGTGATGTCCAACTCACGCGAACGGATGCCTTCCAATTTCTCAGGATCGGTGATCAACACCTGAAAAAATAAAATAAGAATACAAAACATTAAATGTATGATTAATTGCATCACAAAGAAATGGTTTTACCTGAACTCCCATCTTCATTTTGGTCTTCTGGAGCGAAAAGTCCAGACAGGCAATCTTTGCATTGACAATCTTCTTCGGCATCTGCTGGGAGGCAATCGTACAGTTCAGAGCATATCCATGAACCAGAACACTTTCGCGGGCGGATTTGCCGTGGGCCTTTAACACATTCACTGCCTTGATCGGATATACTGGATTACCCTTGGGGTCCGTAATCTTGACGGCCTGGGCAGCATCCACAACCATAGCGGCGAAGAAATCTGCATCAGCACCAATGATTTTCGAGCTCATCGACGTTTTAGCAACATTAACCAATGTGTCACGGCCCAGCTCATCGACCGGGGCTGTCAGATGTTCCGAAACGTACTTGCAAGCCTCCTTACAAGCCAAACGGTATCCGGCAATGATTGACGTTGGGTGAATCTTCTGCTTAACAAGTTCATCGGCGTTCTTCAGCAGCTCGGCAGCAATGATCACAACGGATGTAGTGCCATCACCTACTTCTTCGTCCTGCAGTTGAGCCAATTCGCAAAGAACCTTGGCAGCTGGATGTTCCACTTCCAACAGACGTAGGATGGTGGCACCGTCATTTGTGACTGTAACATCTCCAATGTCATCAACCAGCATCTTATCCAGCCCAACTGGTCCCAGGGAGGATTTGACGATGTTAGCAATGGAAGATGCTGCCATCACTAAAAAAGATTGAAAATTAAATCAATATCGGCATCGAAAAGGCAAAAACAATCCCTTTAGTGGAACATAACCTCAACTAGCGGTAAATGAGTCATTGAGAAGAACGAGAACTTTCCAAAAATCTCATGATTTACTTATTAAAATTTAGGCATAAGCAACCTACTCTGCTAATTCAGTGTCTTTATAAACCATTTAAACTTCCTTATATGAATTTGATCTTGTTTTCCTATCATAAAGTATTAATTTCCATCCAAATTTGAGTGGGAGTGACGGGGCTGCTACACAATGTAACATCGCATTATTCCTCACGTTTCTAAATTTTCATACAAAGCGTATCGCTTATTGTTAATATTGGTGATCGATTTATTGATGGAAATGAAAAATTTAAATCATTTTCCATTGTATATCCGACAAAACGACACCATTCATAGCATGTGATGAATTTCATTCCGCTTCCTGTCCTCGTCCCTCCTGCTGGCAGATATTTCCATAAACAACCCAGCCGAAAATTTTCTTGTTCTCAGAGACCGCACACCGCATGTTTCTTGTTACGGTCGAAAACTTACCATTTTGTGTGCGAACCGGCGCTCCGGATGTCCGCGTTCCGGCTAGAGAAAGTGCACTCGCAACGGTGGACATGTTTTCTGTTGTTTTTCTACGATTTTCTTGGAATTACCAGGGAAAAATTTGCACTAAATCAAGCACGCACCGAAAAGCTAGTCCGTTTCGCGAGTTCGTTTTTCACCTTCTGACAGATCGGTGTGCCAGTGAGCTGCGACGCTTTAGGATTGTCAATCTTCGGTTCTGCATAGAGCTACCAGTTTTTAAATTGGTAGCATAGATTGGTAGCCGCATGTGTAGTATAGCGTTTTTCGAAAGCATGTTCCAGTTTTTCAAACTGGGCCGTTCAATATTACACAGAAACAAAATCCATTGGCAAAAATACTATATTGATGGTTTAAATTAAATACTCCCACCAATAGATTTGTGCAGAAACGAAATTCATTTAATTTTACTATTTTTTCTATCAAAACTACTATGCCGTTTGAGTAAGCATAGTAGTTTTGACAGAATGGTAGTAAATTTGTTTATATTTTTAGTCAATTATACTGAAATCATGGTAGATTAAACGGCATTAAGCGTAGTTATACTGAAAATAAGTGTTTTCTGCAAAATAGTATTCCTAACTATGGTCTTTGTTTCAGTGTACCTATACACAGCAAAAAAAAAAAGTTGTTGAATTTTTACATCGAAACTTCCATTACATCCACATTCAACAGCTCTAAACAAAACATTTACTTCCACATTCCACAGCTCGAAACAAAACATTTTTTGTACGAACGCTTTTATGAAAAAACTTTGAGTTTCAAGCTGCGCAATGTGGCCCAAGGCTATTCCATCAGTTCTGTATTTGCGAAACAGTTGCGTATCATCATTGGGTACACAGAAAAAAAAGTTGATGAATATTAAATCCAAACTGCTGCAACCAGGTCAATCCATCGGTTGTGTAATATAACGTTTTACGATGTACATCGATTTTGCGAACAAAATTACATCCATTGATGTAATATTGTATCTGCTTTTTGCTATTACATCATTATTTCATACATCAGCTTGAATTACATTGATCGATATTACATTTTTTTGTTGTTGTGTACCTGTGTCACTCAAAACATTCCGCACTTTTTTATTGACGAATTTTCATGTGAAATTTCACATGATTTTCATATGAAATTGCACATGATTTTCATGTGATAACACATAAAGCGCCCAGAACGCTTGGCTTTGTCTTCAAGATTACTAAGAACTTCACGGACATTTACTGCTTGAAATCGCTCTATTGCTCTCTCGTACGATCTACGTTGGAATACTGCTCTGCTGTCTGGAGCCCGAACTACAATAATCTATCTATCTATCTATCTTCGATCTGGATGATACTTGGCCCATATTTTCACTATGATAGACCAAGTATTTTCCGCAGGAGAGAAGACCCTTTTGACTCAAGGGTAATTTTTTAAAAGGGCCTATGTGTTTTTGCACACATACTTTTAAAAAATATGTAGTTCGAAAACAGTTGGTTGTAGAAAAAAATTTACTCAGAAGGAGTTGTAGGAAACTAATAAGGCTTTATAAAAAAAATATACACGAATTAAAAAAAAATTAAAAATAAACCTCAAAACTCAAATAACAAAAAAAACGTATTTTTGATTTTTTTTTTATATTTTTTTAATAAAAACTTGAATAGAAAACAGAAGTTTTGAAAACAACTCAAGGATGGACAAAGTTTTAATTAAAAAGTTTTTCCAATAGCAACTTTTAAGGCATTTTTGAAACTTTCATTATTTACGGCAAAATATTCAGTTTGATGTCAGTATATGATTATAAAAATCATATCAAACGATAGTGCCCATATCGATAAACTTCCTAAATATAACCGTTTTCGATATATTTCAAATTTACTTTCATCATAATCAATTTTTTGTAGAAAATATGCCCTTTTCGTAATTTATACGTGATTGTCCATCAAATATGATAAGTTTTGCAAGATATGCATGTACTTACCTTCAATTTACACTGAAACAAAGATAATAGTTAGGAATACTATTTTGCAGAAAACACTTATTTTCAGTATAACTACGCTTAATACCGTTAAATCTACCATGATTTCAGTATAGTTGACTATAAATATAATCAAATTTACTACCATTCTGTCAAAACTACTATGCTGACTCAAACGGCATAGTAGTTTTGAAAGAAAAAATAGTCAAATTAAACGAATTTCGTTTCTGCACAAATCTATTGGTGGGAGTATTTAATTTAAACCATCAATATAGTATTTTTGCCAATGGATTTTGTTTCTGTGTACCCTTCCACCAATAGACTATTGGAAAATTGGTTTTAAACTTATAAGATAAATAAGATAAATAAATGAAACACCCATGCGTTTTTATTTGCATCTTACATTTATGACTTTCGATCGTCTTTAATAATAATAATGTGTACATAAACCTTTGCGTTGGATATATTTTTATTTGATAAACTTTTGATTGGCATGTTTTTATATGTTATGAATGGTGCGTTCTTCGTCATTCGAAAATAGTTTCGCTGATATTTTATTTTCGGAAATCGGAACAATACAGTGATATTTTCTTGTTCCTGGGATCGTTTTGGCCTTTTCAAAAATGCTTTTCCATTCTGCAGCCCCCTCTTCGTATTCCTTTTGTGACACAAAACAAAATGACATTTTTGTTAAATAATGATTACTCTTCTGGTTAGCCCATGCATATAACTCTGCTGCACTTGTGATTGGATGTTCGTGTTCTACAGCCACACTTGCGTTCCTTGCCATTCGTTTTAATGTGCCACCAATCGCGTCACATGGTCCCTTGCCATGCGAAGTTGCAAAAAAAGTGCCATTCAACATCAATATTGTACTTCGTTTTAAATTTACAAAGACTTGTAAAATTTTTGCAATTTTTATATTGGGATGCAGCTCCATCAGACATAAACATCGGTTTTTTTACTTGTATTTTTGTTTGCAAAAAGGTCAGTAATTTTGAAATAAATACTTGCCCCGCAATTGTATCAACAATTGTATCAACAATTGTATCGTGTTTTAAAACTTCAGAGATTACGATCAAACTTAAATTTTTAATTATACCTGATTCTGAATAATAAATGCAAAAAGGATGAATAGTAGCTTGTTGATTATTCCAGTAACTACTTTGGGTATCATCTTGAAGAACAAATGAATAATTTTCGGAAAAATCACAAATTATGACAACTTCTCCATTTTTAAGAGTATTTTTTGTATTTCTCAAGAAACTAGACTGCTGAGTTTTAATATTATCATGGGATACCAGTTTTTCCAATATTTCGCAAAAATAAGGAACAATCCATCTACTGGTTTTACAAGTTTCTCTAAACTACATCGATTAGTTGAAACCCATTGTTCAAAACATATTTCAGACATACCCTGTTCCTCGAATTTTTCTGAAAAACTTCTTTCAAAATCTGAGAGACCTGGACAACGTTCGCATTCGCGGAGATAACAATGTTTAGTTCTGGATGATGAGCTGCATAATATTTCTTCAAAATAATGGTTGAAATCTTTTTCGAATGAATATTTTCTAAGACAATGAAGCATCAAATTAATATTTTCATGGATGGTACAAACACAAATATGGTGAGAACCTGAACTACCAAGTAAAGTGCAATGCTTTGGTTTTAGTGCTGCAAATGAACTAAATCCAATGCTATTTTTTACTAACTTCTTGAAATTTAATAAAAGCTTCTCGCAATGTACAAACTAAAAGTCGCTTTTGAATATGAATCTTCTTACCTTCCTTCTTCACTGAAACGTAATCGTTTAGTCCTGGAGTGGCTCTGCTTATCTGGTCGCTTTCGAAGAACTGCAATACCTCGTTTTTAATTTCGGGATCCAAACCGTGTCCTAACCTTTCGTTGGGGGTGGTCAATACTCCTTTCCCGTTTGCCAAGCATCGAGCTTCCAATACAATGTATTTATTTGTTTCAAACTCGTCCATTACCGTTTGCGTTGACCAAGATTTCGGCAAAATCGTCAGAATCCTTATTTGATCGTCTCTCGATGAACCTGGATCAGCAAATCTCTCCTTCAGTTGTCCGATCATCTCATTGTGTTCCGCAGCTTTCAATTTTAGTTGCTCCAGGTCATCTTCTTCCGCTTGAAAACCGAAGATGCGTTTCTTAATGCCATTGGTAATGTCCATATACTTTCTCCGGGGATAGTAAACATTCTGGATTTTTTTTTGTCGATATTGGCGATACGTTGATACCATACTCAATATTATGCGTCCTGGAAAATTGTTGCTCTCCACTATCCTGAGACGATGCTGTTGTTATTGACGTAATTGATGGTATTTCTTCGAGGCCATGTCGAGATGTAGATGGCTTTGACTCCGCGATGTCCATGACTGACGGTTGCACTTCTAGTTCCAGATTTTCAGCACATGGTTCGATTAATCTATTTAAATTCAAGCGACACGTATCACAGATTGATAGAGATGTATCCAAATTAAATTTCAAATCTAGGAACTTATGTTTTTCAATCAAATTTTCAGATAATTTACGAAGCTTTGAGGAACACCGTTTATTAGGAAACGGCTTGCAACACTCGACCTTTTTGATTATGAAATTATAGGGGAAATGACGGCTTCGGCATGCCAGACTATTTTCGGCAACCCAAATTGAAACACTATTTTCACTGGATTTTCTTACGAAAACACTTCGCTGAATGCATGCAAACTATTCTTTATGCTTTAAGCTTCAATTTGACTATACTTTTACCACTGAGAAAAGCAATCTAGCAAGGTTTTCTTGAAATGAAATACACGCACTACAAATTGTAGCTGATTTCGAGTTGCCGATAATAGAACAGCAGATTTACATGCAGTTCAAATGGAACGGTTGCCTAAGAAAAACTGGTTGCCGACAATACTCGCTCTCACTAGAGAAGATTGGAGCTTTGTAAAAGCGTTTCAAAACAGTTTTTGACAATTCTTTCGACTGAAATTGTTAGAGCAGCTGGCAGCAAAAGATTGTAAACAAACCAATATTGCATATGTGTGCGTTCCTTAGAGAAAAGGGCTATAGAAAGAAGGTCGCTGCTTAGGTTGCCGAGAATACGTAAATTCCCCTACTTGTTCACTCAAAAAGATTTTTTTTAGTGATGTCTGTTTTCAAAGGGATGGTCATGCTTATATACAAACGTAGGTACC